CCCTTTCCCCATAACCCCCTGCATTCTTTCTCAGAGCACCTCAGTTTGCCCCTCCTCTGACCCCATACTGATCACTGAGGATGTGTATTGTTCTTTGATGTACAGTGCTACATCCCTTGCCTTTTCCCTGCTCTGTCTCACCCGTACAGCCTGTATCCCTGGCTGTCCACTGCCCAGTCATAGATAGAATCCCACCAGGTTTCTGTGAGCCCCACTAGGTCTGGGTTTTTGCTATCTAGCAGGAGGGCAAGTGCCTCTTGCTTATTCCCCATGCTTCAGGCATTTGTGTAGAGGCATTTGAGGCCTCCTGTAGGTGCCCATGCCGCCCCCTTGTTCCTAAGTCTGCCCTGGCCGCTGTCACTTACTTGGGTACTACCTGTGCGTGTCGCTTGCCTTGACTACAACGTGTCCTTGTGTTCCTCTGCATCCCCAGCCCCTGGTGAACCTAGTTTAAAGCTCACCATATGAGATCAGCCAGCCTGAAAGAAAAAAATGCGCTTACCTTTTGGGGAGAGATGAAGCCCATCCTGTCCAATCATGTCCTCTGTGCGGAAATGCGGGTCGTGGTCCAAGAACCCAAAGCCTGCCTGGTATCACCAGCTCTGAAGCCATTGGTTGACCTTGCCGATGCATGTCTCATGGCACTGTCCATGTCTGCTCAGTGGAAGGATAGAAGAAAAAACCACCTGTGTCCCTGTCTCCTTGAGCTTTACCCCTAGAGCCTTGTAGTCACTCATGATGCAGACTTCAGGAGATTGCTTGGCTCACACCTTTCAGTAGGCACCATAATAGTGATTCCAGTGTTGGGGTCACTGGTAAAACCACCTGCACTTTCAGATAGTGCTTTAAGCTCTGCTTTCTGACCTGTGGCGCTCTGTGTGTTGGCATCAGGCAAACAAGTGGAAAGCACAGCTGTGGTATTCCGTGAGGTTGCCTTCAAAATCAGGAGTGTGTTGTTTAGGATGCATGGAGCCCACTGGAAGTCTTCTGGTAAACCCAAGTATTTGAGTGCTTTTAAACAAGGAAGATCCACCTGAGCTTTGTTACCATGCCCTGTATAAACTCTGGCTGTTACAAGACCATGGATGTGGTATAGGACTGGCCTTGGCTGGCAGTATAATATTTCAGGATGGATTAAATCAGTCAGCACTATGTAAAACTGTTGGCAATTACATTGGTCACCGCACATTCATTCAAATTCTCCATTTTTACATTTTTATTATGTTAGAAAATGAATGATATGAGGTGATTATTTTTTACCTGTGACTTGGTTTTATCTTCTTTTGACTGGCTACTGGAATTTGGCTAAAATGCAGACTAACAGCATTTTAAAATTGATTGATTTACCTAATAAAAGAAAAAAAGATATACTGGCTGCAGAAGAAAAATATTTATCAGAGTATGTTTTGCATATATAATTAAATGATTTATTAAACAAAGGAGGTGGTGTCAGTAGGGAGTGAATTGGACTGATTTGTTTTTGGTTACCATGTCCATCAAAACTTTTTAGGACTAAATCTCAGCCTCTCCCTTTATTTTTTATTAATAGATTGGAAAACAAGCTTTTCTGCTTTTTTCCAACTCCCAACTGGTTTCTTGACTTTGAATGAAGGTAGTCATGGAGCTGAACTAGAAAATCTTCTGTAAGTGCAGCGAGAATAGATTACTGCCATCAAAATTGGGCTTACGGTATCAACAAATTCTGGTTCTAGATGCTTAGTCAGTGGCTTCTACCAGTTCAGTCTCTGACTTTCATTAAAACAAGACTGGTTAAATATTTATTTTCTATTTATTAAAATGGTTTTAATACATTATAGCAAATTTGGACCCTAATGGAGATGATCTTTGTTCAGATTGTAATTTTTAATTAAAATTTGAAATGTTTTAAAACTCAAGCTATTTATTTTAAATCTGATTTAAATAAAAAATCCAATTTTTAAGAAAAAATTATTTGTATTTACCTTGTGGGGCTTCTTTTGTGTCAAGGTATGGATAGCAGTGTTTTCTGGGTAGCACTGCCTTGCTGTGGGGATGCAGGCAGCAGTACTAAAAAAATGCATCCTTGACTGGGGTAGGGGGGTGATGCCTTGCAGCATCTCTTGCCTGCTAGTTTTTCTAGGCTTCCTAATCTCACAAATTTGTCCTCCAGGTGGATGAAGAGTATATGAATCCTCACACTGTTGACCGAGTGCCTCTTGGCAAGCTGCCACTCATGTGGGGCCAGTCTCTTTACATCTTGGGTTGTTTATTAGCAGAGGTAAGACCATACCAGTTACCCCAGTCTGAGACCTTTGGTGGGGGGGCTGTCTCCACTCTGTTTTGTAATCCAAGCTCCGCAGATTTATCACCGACTTGCTGAAAAGGCAAATATCTCAATTGTGAGCATCTAGAGACCCAGCACAAAACGTAGTAGGGAGTGCTCAGCATAGGATCACAGGCAACTAGGGACCTCACAAAGTCATCTAGTCCAGCCCCCCTGCTCAAGGCAGGATCGTCCCTGACTAAACAGGACACAGCGCAGCCAATTGTCTATCCATCCTTGAAAACTTTCAAGAGCAAGTTAAAGATTCCACAGCTTTTCTAGGTAGCCTGTTCCAATGCTTGACCTGAGAAACTCAGGCCTGGATGCTGCTTTAAATCTGCATGATTACACCCTGAGCTGTATGGAATCAGAGGCATTTTCCTTGTAGCCCTTCAGTCACGGGGTCTCTGCCAGGCCTCTCAAATGTAGGTGCTGAGTCTGCTGAAGGGAGTACGGCCTAGCCAAGGCTTGTCTCCATCCTTTCTTCCTCAGATCACTGCCTTGTGCCTTCCATCTGTTCACCAAGCAGCCATTTGTGCAACATGCCTTCACCAGGGCCTGGACATTTGTCTAGGGAGTGTTGTTTGCCTTCCTACCCGGCCCTCCTTTCTGCAATAACGCTTCTCCCAGCCAAACTAGTGAAATCCAGAAGGCAGGATTGTGCAGAGCATTGCACAGTCCTACATCTTGGAGCTGCTCCTGCCATGGCTTGATGAGCCTCATTCCTGTTTCTGACAATACTAGTTCCTTCAGCATCATTGCTGTCCCAGTTTTGAGGGTTTTGGAAATGGACAATGTTAGGCCAAACATTGTTACAGACTGTCAAACAGTCTCCCTAGACTATGTCAAATGAAGCCTAAGTGGGATTAATCATGCAGTGGTTCCCAGCCCCTGGGCCGTGGCCCAGTGCTGGTCTGTGAAGGGTTGGCTGCCAGTCCACAGGAGGGCTGGCTTTAGGACTAGCAAACTGTGCCAGTGACCATGGACTGGCAAACCATGGACTGGAAGTGACCAGCATATTGCGGACCGGCAGCCAACCGTTTTTTATACTGAATATAAAAAAGGGGTGGCTGCTGGTCTGCAGTAAGCCAGCCCTGCTGTGGACCGGCAGCCAACCCTTTGCAGCCCAGCACTGGGCCATGGCCCAAGGGTTGGGAACCACTGCATAATTACACTGAGTATAAAAAAGGGTTGGTTACTTTCCTGCAGTTTGCCAGCCACTTCCAGTCCACGGTTTGCTGGTTCTGAGCACAAAAAGGTTGGGAACCCCTGGGTTAATGAATGAAATCTCTCCTCTGGCCAGGTCATGTTAATTACTTGGAATACTTCAAAGGAAGTAAAGTAGCTCTTGGTAAAGGAAGAGCCACAACTCTTGGATAACTAGCAAAAGGAGGAGGATTTTGCTAGACTGAGCTTCCCTAGAGGACTTAAAAACTAAGTGTGATTCTGGTCTGTTCTTGAACCTTATGGTTCTCAATGGGGTTTCCCACCTGATTTGGACATCGGCATTGATCTGTGCCGCTGATGCATTCTTGTTGCTAATGTACTGGTAGCAGTATCTCCATTGTGGTTATTTCTCCCCACAGGGATTCCTTGCTCCAGGAGAAATTGATCCTTTGAATCGCAGGTTTTCTACCGTCCCAAAGCCAGACGTGGTGGTTCAAGGTGTGTGTGGCAGACTGAGGTTGCTGGTTGCTCTGGGTATGCTGCAGAAGAGGGGAGAGAAACAGCTTTGTTCTGTTCAGTGCAGGCTGGTTTCCAGCTGAGCAGTGAAACTGATGGCTTCCCCCTCACCACATTAGGTAACACTTGAGCATTATTTGGATCTGGAGATAGGTGGTGCAGATGGTCACTATACATGGGTCTGGAAGGCCTCACACACAAGCTAGGCAGCGTCACAGAATGAAGTCTACCTCTCTCTGCCTTAGCGTTCCTGCTGGGCTGCTCTGATCCCTGAAGTCTCGTGTTACATGCATTTGATAGAAATCATAGATGGTGGGAAGATCTCCTGGATGTGGGTGACTGTGGAGAGGGGTGCAGTGCCCTTCTTTCTGGGTTTGTGCTGAGCCAGTCTTACTATGGTGCTAAGGGATGCAGAGCTGCTCAAGGTGCTGTCCTTTTTGGATGGGACTGTCAAAATGGAAGGATCAGGACTCATTTGAAAGGTATCTTGATTCCCCTTAGTTAAACAGCTGTTATGTTACACACCAGAAATGGCTGCATTGCAGTGATTAAACTACCTCATAAAGTTTAAGTATACATTAAGTAGAGGTGCACTGATGCATTGGTCTGATATCGGATTGGTACTGACATAAATAAAATTATCTATATTGGATACTGGCCTTACGTGGTCGGTAATTGGGCTGATAAATGCCTGTGCTGTGAGCAGCCGCAGTGCAGCATGTAGGCAGTGAAGACACAGCCTGCAGCATGGAGAACTGCCTCCAGCTGGTAAGTCTGGGCAGGGAGTGCAGGGCAGATCAAGGTCCTGCTGTGAGGGAGGCAGGAGTTGGAGCTGGGGCAGTGGCAAGTGCTGCTCCGTTGGGG